AAACAGGTACTATAAACTACTTAAGATGTGTTTCCTCTTTTTATTTTTATACTTATTACTGTTTTAAAGATACCAGCTCTTATGGAATAGTTTCTAGAGTGCTCTCACTCTTACATATGACCCTTTCAGGTAATGTTGAAGAAATTGACAAGTTCAGCCGTCGCTTGGTGAAGGTAACAAAGCAACACAATGAAGAAGTCAAGAGACTGCTCTCGCTTATGGGCATTCCATATGTGGATGCTCCTTGTGAGGCTGAGGCTCAGTGTGCTGCCCTTGCCAAAGCAGGAAAGGTATGGCAAAGGCTTATAGTGAAGGACCAGGGCTTGATGCGATGTTGAGATAGTGTGATTGAGACTGGATTTAGAAGTCAAGCTATGAGTTTTGATTTTGGAGTTTTGTTCACATTCGCACTGGTTTTGATCAGTCTTAATTAGATTTTTTTCCCTATTGTGGTAGGCAGCCTGAAAGTACTGAACTAATATCAAAGTTGCTTTTGATATAAAGTAATTTTGTTGAACTACTTAAGAGGTAGGAACAAAAACTAGCTTCACCCATTAACAGCTGGTAAAATTCTTGGTAGATTTTGGGGAGTATAGTATTCCATTTGTGTCTTTTACTCAGCACCTGTGATATTGGCTGGCTCATGTATATTGCATCACTCATATGCAAAGAAAATACATATGGTAGAGCAACAGTAAGGGAAAGATTACACAAGGAAATGGAAATGAACAGTAGAAGATGCCTTGATGATTTTTTTACAACAGAACATCTGACTTTGCAGGTATATGGTGTGGCAACTGAGGATATGGATGCCCTGACCTTTGGCACACCAGTGTTGTTGCGGCATATGACCTTTAGCGAGGCGCGGAAGATGCCTATCAAGGAGTTCCATTTGCCAAAGGTCTTGGAAGAACTTGAACTCTCTCATGAGGAGGTGAGACCTAGCTATAAGTCAGTCTTGTAGGATCGGATTATTATATTATGTAATGTATATATATATTCTTTAAAAGGCATTTGGTAGAAGTTCAGACCTGAAGACCTTAACACTCTTGGATTCTTGTTTCTTGTACTTAATTTTTCTTGAAATCCTCTCACATAACAGATTCTTTACCACCCAAATTTCTTATTACAGTTCATTGATATGTGCATCCTCCTTGGCTGTGATTACTGTGACAGCATAAAGGGCATTGGGCCCAAGCGTGCCATTGAACTCATCAGAACCCACAAGTCAATTGAGAAAATCGTTGGCCAACTTGACAAAAAGAAATACCCAACTCCTGAGGATTGGCCATACACTGAGGCTCGGAGGCTGTTCGTTGAGCCTGAGGTGAAAGCTGCAGAGGAAGTGGAGGTAAGTTTGTAAGGGGTGGATGTGTTTCTGATAAGTTTGTGTATGTGTGTGTATATGGAGAGCCTGTGTATGTGTAATAATTCCCCCAAAAGCATATGATTATTTTAGTGTTGTATCTCGTTAGTGTTTATCTTTAATTAAAAAGGTGTTCTTTCTCAATTTTGATTCTTTCCATCAACTTAAACACTCTTGGCCTTGCATTTGACAGATTTTTATCTATTGATGTTGAAAAGTACTTAAACAACATTTTCCCTTCCATTGAATATTTTTCAATCCCAGGTTATTATTCTTTTTCAACCCAGCTCAAGTGGAATGAACCAAATGAAGAGGAGCTGATAAAGTACATGTGTGAAGAGAAGGGCTTTGCTGAGGACAGAATACGCAATGGGTGCAAGAAGCTGACCAAAGCTCGCAACACCACAACACAGGGACGACTAGATTCCTTCTTCAAGGTTCTGCCATCCCCAACCAACTCGTCTAATAAGCGCAAGGTGATTGTTGTGTGTGGATTGTTTCATTATGTTAAGGATTAATTTTTTTTCATATATATATATTATATATATATATATATATATATATATATATATATATATATATATAATATATATATATATATATATATATATATATATATATATATATATATATATATATATATATATATATATATATATATATATATATATATATATATATATATATATATATATATATGAAAACTCTTTTTTAATCTCTTCCTGATATACATATTTTATTCTTCAGAAGAAGAACCCGTTAGAAATACTTGAAGACGTATAGATACTTACTAGTTTTGTTGATACTTCTCAGGATATCGTCATTTTTCTTAAATTTTTCTAAGCCATTGCCATTGTTCTTTTCACAGTCAAACGAAAAGCCTGGAGCAGCAAAGAAAGCGAAGACTGGAGGTAGTGGCAAGTACAGGCGATGAGATCTCAGCTGAGGCATCAGCTAGGGAGACAAGAAACCATTTTTTTTTTTTTTCTTTTTTTCTTTTCACACTCCATTGAGAATACTTTGTATTGTCTTTCATTGTTTGATGTTACCCCATTCATGATCTTCTGGTGTTTTGATATTTTTTTTTTTTAGCCTTGTATAGTTTTTTACATTTGATTTCACATTTTCTTGTCTTTGTTATCTATTTTTTTAAGAAAATTTCTTTTAGGATCTGGTATTTTTTCTTGCAGTATTTGGTGTGTATGTGGGTATCAGAAATTAAATGTTTTTTTCAGCAGCTTTTTGCCATTTCTCTGTTAGACACTTTAAATGTTTGATAGCTTTATCTGTTATTACAGAAGAATGAACATGAATATCTTGTATACAACATTCCCTTATAACCTGTAATAACCAGTGAATTCCGTGACCAGTGAATAAAGGGAAATAATATCTGTTTGTTGTTTGCTGTTTATCCTGTGACCAAGTAGATTTACTGCAGCTTTGTAAAAGAAATGCAAATGTCAGATTATATTTATTTCAAATAGATTATTAATATGTATGTATATAAAAGTGTTTTCTGGTTCTAAAGTTTTTGCTGTGGTGCAACTGGTGGTGTTCTCGTCTGGCATTATTGCTGATCTGAGTTAAGACCCGCTCGCTGCCAGTGGATGGAAACCCCGGCCATTCCTTGTACACGGGAAGATTTAGAAAGAAAATAAAACAGACAGCATGTAACAGCAAAGAATATCCATTGTAACAAATGGAATTAAAAGTAAATCTTTAAATCTTTAATCTTGGATCTATTGAGCAAAGTCAGAAATGTAAATTTGATATTGGACTTTAGAGCAACAGTTTGTTTTTCCATGAAAATGCTAGGATGGAAACTTTGGTTGGGTCTTCATTGGTGGGTGAGGGAAGTTAAAAGTTCTCTTACTGTAGCAATCATTTTATATTGCTGCCAACCTATAATATTGTTCACAAATGGGACAATTATCACATGAAAGTAGCATAACTAAAGTGATATATTTCAGTGCTTGGTTAAAAATTATAGTTATTTTACTGTCTAAGACTTGTATACTTCTGTCAATCAACAGTCAACAATTGCAATGTTGGTAATTGCTTGAAATGCAATAAATCACAGAATCCAGTCATTTTCACTAGGCCTCCATGATCATCAATCACTGGTATGTACATCCTAATTTGGGTGCCAAATACTTTTTGTGATAATATCAGACTAAAGAAATGATTTTGTGACCCTCATACTGTTGTACTGCATATTTACATTAGGCAGGATAAGGCATCTGTTTCATAAAACTTAAAAATGAATATGAATATCTCAACTTATTTAAACTGTTCTGCTGTTTTATATACTTTTGCTTCATCAATGTTTTTATTTTGAGAGAGATCATATCTTCATTCAGGCTTCAGCAACTTTATTATATGAAATTTTAACATCTGAAAAACTATTTATTAACAGCATTCTGAGACTCTTCCTGTATGTTTGATTTGTACAAATCTAGATACTAATACATATCTAATTGGAACCTCTCCCTTCATTAAAGCAATTATGTAAAACTAGACAGTTGTAAGATATATGCTTTTTATCAGATTCTTATGGTATAAACCTTCCTAATTTCAAGAAGCCTGAATAAATTTCTTGGATGGGTTTAACTCCAACAAAGGAAAAGGAAACTAGCATTTCAGTATAAACTGTCATAAAATTATTGTGTTCATTTTCTTAATTGTAACAAGATATATATTTATATACTACATTTGGTAGAGACTAAAATGGAATTAGAAACAGATAATTTTATCCATCCTCGTTTTATTTATTTATTTTTTTCAAACCTTTTTTGTGAAAGCAAAAAAATCCTAAAACTTTTTTGTATATTTTGCAAAAAATACACAGTTTGGAGAACTATAACATGAATGTAATATTGAAGCTGAAAAAGCAAGAATATACTGGACACTGTAAATCAGATGAAACTGTTCCCATCTTCACAGGCAAACAATTTCCAACCGAAGCAAGAGCCTGAAGACACCATATATATGTAGTGAATATTTCCTCATTGTTTACAGATGTATATTTGCAAATGGCAGAAATTGAACCGAGGTAGAAAATATATTTGTAAATTTTACTTTATTTTTTTGTTACAGGAATTACTCAGGTCATAAATTTTGGTCAGTGAAATGAGACTTCTTATTTTGTTTGGAAAAAACAGTATTCAGAACTCTCTCTCTGTCTCTCTCTCTGTCTGTCTCTCTCTCTCTCTCTCTCTCTCTCTCTCTCTCTCTCTCTCTCTCTCTCTCTCTCTCTCTCTCTCTCTCTCTCTCTCTCTACTCTCTCTCTCCTCTCTCTCTCTCTCTTCTCTCTCTCTCTCTCTCTCTCTCTCTCTCTCTCTCTCTCTCTCTCTCTCTCTCTCTCTCTCTCTCTCTCTCTCTCTCTCTCTCTCTCTCTCTCTCTCTCTCTTTATATATATATATATATATATATATATATATATATATATATATATATATATATATATATATATATATATAATATATATATGTAATGTTGAACAGGAATGCACATTCTTGGACTAGTTTCAGCGTAAAATGTTTTAGTGTGTAACTCTACTAATTTGTTTTATGAAGAGTATATATTGCATGTAACGTCTATTAAAAAATAGGTTGGATAGACAAACACAGTTTAGTCATTAGAAATATATATTTAAAAGCATAGAACGATAAATCATAAATAAATAGAATCTTCATCAACTGACCAGTTCAATACCAGTAGATACAAATTACCAAGCTATTAAAATTCTTCAGAAACTTTACACTCGCATCCACAGCTTACGCTCGTCTCTCACGTTTACTAGTTTTACTCATTATTCTTTTATCATATTAATTTATTTATGTTCTGGAGCCCCATTCGAAGTCGGCTGCTGCGTCATAAGGATCCTCTCGGCCGTATGAGGGTGCTGGGGGATGGTAAGAGGGGCGTGGGGGGGAGGGTTTGTGGTAGGTGGGGGCAGGGGCGTGGTAGGTGGGCTTAGGTGAGGGGGCGTGGTAATGTAGGCCTAGGTGAGGGGGCGTGGTAGGTGGGCTTAGGTGAAGGGGCGTGGTAGGTAGGCCTGGGCTTGGGGGCGTGGTAAGAAGGCCTAGGGGAAGGGGCGTGGTAACTGGGCTTGGCAGGGGCGACGTAGGCGGGCTTGGGCGGCTGATAGGGCTCGGGCTTATGGTAAGGGTCGGGCTTGTGGGCGGCCGGGCCATAGGAGGGGATGTGGAGGGGTCCATCGTAAGGCTTTTGGTAGTAAGGATTGTGCTCGGGATCGGTGTTCAGCCTGGGGGGGAAGGGGAGGCAAATGTTATTCATTATTTGGTGATTGATTGTCCAAAAATATATACGAGGCGAATGTGTGATTGCGTGAATATTATCATAGGTGTGTGGAAATTCTGAGAGAGATTAAAAAGTGGAAAAAATCTAAAATACTGATTTATTCTGAAGATCCCTATCACATATGAAAAAAAGACAATCAACTTTATCTCAAGCATCCTTCGATCTAAATAAATAAAATAAATAAATAAATAAATAAATAAAGAAAAAACGCTCGGACTCCACAGAAAACGGTCCACAATCAAAGAAAACGGTACTTAAAGGAGGACATACTCGTAGAAATATGTAGCTTTGTCGCAGTCCACGTTGTACCACCAGTCACAGCTGAAAGTTTCCTGGTTGAAGATCGTACCGTTGGTGCAGAGGAACTGGGCTCCCTGTGGGCCGTACCTGTCGTCGTCACACACGTGGTACACCTAGTGAGATGAGGGAAAGAAAGGGAAAGATAATTATTAACTTAAAGTGTAAGGAATATAGTATTTTGATCAATTGGATTTTGCAAAGAAAAAGTACAGACTAAAAAAGAAGAATAAATATGAAAAAGTATTTGATATAAGTTATAGACCATAATTGCCTATAAAATTGGCTGTAGTTTTATTCATACCTTAAAATATTAGTCAAAGTGAACTAGAGAGGAAAAATAGATTCTGAATAAATGTAATTGTACAGCATATTTTTTTTTCTTTGTTCTTGTGCATTATTGCAAAGTGTTTTTTGTTATATGAGATTAACCAGAGACGTTTTTCTCTTCTTGGATGTCTCAAATCTTGACTATCTCCGAGAGCTATAATACAGCATTATAAAAGTCACAGAGCAGCTCGTTTATAACACACACATAAGCCCGACCGGATAATTAGAACCACAAATTTTAAAATCATAACTACGCATGCAGCAGAAAGTAAGATCGAGTAGGAAGAGAGAGAGAGAGAGAGAGGAAAGAGAGAGAGAGTGGAGAGAGAGTAAGGCATGAGAGAGATGCAGAGATGTTTAGACGTGAGCTTACGAGAGAGAGTAGATGAGATATGCTAGTAGAAGCGTACGCAACGATAAAGCGGATGACAGTCGTAGACGTATGAAAAAATCATCTGAGTTACGTCATGATCATAGTATGTATCGTATGTACCAAAAGCAGACAGACTGAGAGCCGCCATAACTTGCGTTCTCGAACTTATTCATGCACATATTCAATACTCTTAATAACGCAGTATCGCTCGACTCGCTCATTGCCAAAAGTCTTCGACTGATCATACGAAACAATTTTGTGTCCGAGATTGAAACCGGGTTTTGGCAGATCTGTGTGGCCACCGCTTGCTAGGTGTTGTGATTTTATCGCACGAGCTTTCTATTACCCTTCTTTCCACTCTGAATCTCTTTCTCTCTCTCTCTCCGGTTCTCGTCTAGTCCTCGCCTGTCCTTGATTCTTTTTCTTTCTCTTTTCTCCTTCTCTCTTCACTTCTCACTCTTGTCTTCGTGTTTGGTCATCCTCTCTCCTCTAACTTTATCTTCTCTCTCGTCTCCTGTGCCTCTCCTCTCCTTCTCTCTTATCTACTCTTCCTGTCTCTCTTTCTCTCTCCTCGAATACCTGTCTGCCTATCCTCTCATCCTCGCTCTCTTCTACGCTGCCTCGTCTCTCCTTTATTCCTCTACTCTCTCTCTCTCTCCTCTCATTCTCTCCTCTTTCTACCTCTTTCTCGCAATCTTGCTCTTTCATCCGAGTCGGTCATCTCTCCATAACTAATGGTCTTTTGCTCCTCCTCCTGTACATCATCTGACACTTTCTCCTTTACGAGTCGTTTCAGTCGGATATTAAATGTGCGGATTATTTTCGCTTTAGTGCATTTCTCTGTTTCTACTAGTTTTTTTTCCCTTGTTCTTCTTCATCTGGCATTTATCCTTGTCGGCTTGATGTGGCGTTCAGCTAATCACAGTCGGCCTTCTCTGTCTCCCTTCCCTTAAATCGGATCTTCTTTCTCGCAATTCTTGTGTTGTTTCTTCTTCTTTGTTTACTATTTATATTTTTACTTTATCTTTATATATATATTATTTATTACTCCTCTCTCTCCTCTCTCAACTCAATTCTCGAGCAAAATTGCACACTCTCCGATATTACTTCTATGGCTGACACTATTATTGTTCTCTCTCTCATGTCACAGCTCGAATCCCTCCTACTCTCCTCTGTCTCCGTCTCTCTAATCACTCTCGTCTCCTGTCCTCTCTCCTCTCATCCCTCCCTCAATCCTCTGCCTTCTCCAAAGCCTCTCCCTCACACCTCTTCCCTTTCGCTTTCTCTCTCTCTCCGTCCCCTTCCTCAAGACGACTTCCCTTCAAGCCTCTCGACCACCTTTTACGTACGCTCGTAGCTTCTTACTCTCTCCCTCTCCCTCCCCGCTCTCTTCTATTCCACTGTTATCCTCCTTCATCTCTCCCGTCTTCCTGCTCTCTACTCTAAACACATCTCATCATTCCGTTTTTCATCGCTTCATGTTCACTCTCATCGAAATCCATTTATTGCACCTTCATTTCATTTTTTAGCTTCTACCTGACATCGTGCTCCGATTGGGCGTACATATACCCAGGACTAGGCGGGTACAGCGGACTCTCCCCTTATGACGCAGTGAATTTTGTTCGTAAATGGAATCTGAAACTTACGAAGATCCTCGTACATTAAAATGGCGAACAAATTGCGATTAATGTGGCAGAAGAAAATGTGTCGATTTACGTTGCGAAAAAAAATTCGTCGATATAGTTTGGCCCACCAGAAAAATATGTGCGCATTTACGTCTTGTCGAAAAAATGTGCTGCTTTCGTCTGGCGAAAAAATCCGTGCGATTAATTCGCTTTCTCCGAAAAAAATGTGCGATTTCAATTGGCGATATAAAACTCGGGCGATTAATTCTTGCGAAATAAAATGCTGCGATTAGTTGGCTGAAAATACATATATCAGCCCTCTATGATTCACGTTCTTATCGAACATCATACCATCGCTTGGTATTATCCTCTTTGCTCGAAAACAAATTGTGGCTCGCACTTATTGTTCCAGAACAAGGATATCCACGCATTAGTTGTCCGATAAAAATGTGCGATTAGTTGGCGAAAAAAATGTGCGATTAAATTTGGTCGATAAAATACCATACGATTAGTTGTCGAAAAAATGCCGCGATTCACGTTGGCCCGAATCAAAAATGGTGCGAATAATTGGCGAAAAAATTATCCGATTAGTTGCGGAAAAATAATTGCGATTCCTTGGGCGAGAGAAAATGTGCGGATTAATGTGGCGAAACAAATATACGATTAGTTGGTCGCAAAATGTGCGATTAATTGGCGAAATAATATGTCGCGATTAATTGGCGAAAAAAATGTGCGATTAGTTGGCGAAAAAAATATACCGATTAATTTTGGCGATAAGAAAATGTACGATCTAATTGACGAAAAAAAATGTGCGATTAGTTGGCGAAACAATCCACTCCCGTGCGATTAATTGGCGAAATAAATTGTGCGAACCTCCGAGGTTTGCGCGAAAACAATGTGGATTCATCATTTTGCGAAAAAAATTGTTCCGATTCAACTGGCGAAAAAAATGTTTGCGATTAAATTGGCCCGAAATAGAATATGGCGATAATTGTCGAAAAATAACCGATTAATTGCGCGTTTTGTGTTGAAGAGGAGAAGAAGGTAGGTATAGTGATGTTCAAGACAAACTCACAGTCTGCGCTGATTTACAACATCTTCAATCCGGTACAATATGTATCAACAGCAGCACACCAGGCGAAGGAATATCAGAATACGCGCAGCGATTACACTCAGATACCGTAAACATCCCCATTGTACACTTGCACAAACACACCACTAACAGACATTTACTAAATAGCATACAAACTAACAATCACGAAAACTCACACACATCCACAAACAACAGCCGTCACAGTTCAAGTAGTCACAGATACACAACACTTCCACAGACAACACAAACTCTACACAATTCCCCCTCCCTACACACTCAAACACAAACACACTACAAACACATCAGGCGAGATCCTAAGCACCAGAATAGAACTATCCAATTTCCTTATCTCCTTGCATCCTGTACAAGCAAGGAGTAAATTTCCACGCACCGGCGGTCCCCCAGGATCGTGTTCTGTGCTTGTCAGGGTCCGCCCGTGGGGTCACCCGTAGGCTGTCTTGGCTTGTAGGCAGGTTCCTGGTAGCCTGGCGTTGGTGGGCTACTACACCGGGGCTGGGGGCCTGTAGGATGGGAGGGGGGGCTTGTAAGCAGGTGCCTGGGGCTTGTAGGAATTGGTTCAGGTTGTAACGGATGTGGTGGGGGCCTTTGTCAAGGAGGTGCTTGGGAGCGCTCTGTAACTGTGGCTCACTGCCTTGTAGGATGGGGTGGGGGGCTCTGTAGCAGCGTTGCGGCGGCTTGTAAGGACGGGGGTAGTGGGGGGCTTGTAAGCAGGTGCCGGCGGCTTGTAGGATGGCTCCGGTCGGTAGGATGGCGTCGGGGGCTTGTAAGCTTGGCTCTGGTCGTAAGACGATGACGCAGGAGGCTCGTAGGGGGCGTCCTCCACGGGTAATTGAGGTGGCGATGGTCCAGTGTCGACCAACGTCTTCACTGCGGGTCGGTGACGGATACTGCTTCCAGTGTCGTAGTCACCCGCTCGGGTAGTAGATCTGGCGCCCTTCGTCATGCGGAGGAGGGGGGGGGCGTAATTATTTATAGTATTACGGATAGATTATGATGAGTGGAATAAGATAACGATACTGTGATAGAAGAGAAAATGGATAGGTGGGGTCTATAATGTATTAGATAGGGATAGATCAGATTGAGAGGGAAAAGACGGAGGGAGGGAGGCAGGAGGAGAGAGAAGAGAGCGCAGAGGAGAGAGAAGAAAGAGAGCAGAGGAGAGAGAGAGAGAGCATAGAGATACGAGATAGAGATAGACGAGAGAGAGAGAGAACGAGAGATAGAGAGACTAGGATAGTAGATAAGAAAATATGAGAGAGAGAGAGATGAGAGAGAGACCGAGAGAAGAGAGGAGAAGAAGAGAGAGAAGAGCAGAGAGAGGAGATAGTGAGATAGACTACGAGTAGATACGTATAGATAGATATAATAGATAGTCCAGTGAAGCAGCAGAGGGAATCGCAAAGAGAGTAGGAGAGACCTTAAAATTGTCCGTTTCGTATCTCAAGTGGAAGACGAGAGAATACGATAAACGAAAACGGACCTAGGAAGAAGAAATCGGAGGAGGAAAGAAAACATGACGCCGAAAAGAATAACACAGAGGGAAGAAGCAGGAGCAAAGTAATGAAAAAGAAACTTGGCGCATCCTGTTACGGAAATCCTCAAAAACCTTTCCATCTGCTACCAAGCGTCTGCGTCGCGTTTTAATGCCTTGACTGTGGCCTATCATTTCTGCTCTCTCTGGTTTGTTCACATCTCTCGTTTTCTTTCTTCTTATCTCATTACTTCTTCACTTCATTTCATTATCATTGTTGTTGATACTTGGTAATATAATGTTTATTGTTCTTCATCATATGATTTCATTAATTTCATCTCTAATTCTTACCAAGGATATAATCTTAATTTACGATTGCAAATGGCTTAAAACACCGTGTCATTCTTTTTTGATCACGTGTAGTATTGTAAACGGAATCACTCGAATTTACCCGTCTGCTATCATCATTATTCGTCAGTATACACGCACCCTTTCCTTATTATCTATAACTGATTATTATTATCATGCGCCACTTATCGAATCAAGTTATTTAACTCTTATCATCATCAACCCATATATATTATCGATCCCCCTCCGTAATCACCATCTTAATTATTATTATTTACTCATTATCGATCCCGTTCGCTTACTCCACGCACCACCATACAATGCATCATCAGTATCTACCATCTTTAATTATTATATTATCATTGTCACATACTACACCCCCCTTATCATTCAGCTTTCTCTATCAATATCAATTCAAAACCACCAATCATCTCGCCAACATCATCAGTAAATCACACCCTTCTCATTAATGCATTTCCTCGTCATCATTTATCATCAATCAATCATCAATGAAGCAACCTATCATGCAGTTATATCCACCAACACATCTTCTATTATTATTCATCACTCATTTACAGTCATGCATTATCTCCCAACGCTTCACACACATATTACACCCGCATACACACACACTCGCCATCACCATCTATCATCACATACATACCAGGTGTGCTATCCACGCAGTCATCACCATCATTCTTTATTGCAGCTATTGGAACCGTAACCTCCATACTCTTTGGCAATAATTATCTACCAGAAAAAAAAGACATTCCACCCTCCTGTTCAATCAACAAAACACCACTCCCAATTGCGCATAGGTTACAGAACCCCCCAAAACCCCCCCACCCCCAGCCGCCCCATTCCATCGAGTCAATCATGGCCCCGTGCACCACAAAAAAAAAAAAAACCCACACAAAAAAACAGCTTCTCTATTTTGGACAATTCGAAACGAGGCGAAGTAATCTGTATTTTTTCCTTTTTTGTTAAAGAAAAGTCCGACTATTGTTGCAGATGAGAGAGAAAAATTGTTAATTTGGATTTCCTATGCAAAGTAAACTCAATAACAGAATAGAGAGAGAAGAGCAGAGAGAGAGAGAGAGAGAAGAGAGAGGAGAGAGAGAGAGAGAGAGAGAGAGAGAGCCGAGAGAGAGACAGAGAGAGAGAGAAGAGAGAAGAGCAGAGAGAGAGAGAATGAGAGAGAGAGAGAGAGAGAGAGAGAGAGAGAGAGAGAGAGAGAGAGAGAAGAGAGAGAGAGAGAGAGACGAGAGAGAGAGAGACGAGGAGAGAGACAGAGAGAGAGAGAGAGAGAGAGAGACAAGAGAGCGATAAGATACAGGAGACTGAGACAAAGACAGAAAGAACGAGAGAGAAAGATTTTTTTTTTTTTTTTGGTAGTTTAGGGAATAACAAGATCCATAGACGACCAGACAGCAGACACAAACCCACAGACACGCACAGACAGACACAGAGAGAGAGAAGAACGAGCACAAAATTCTCGCACGACTACCCCGCCGGCCACCTGCGGCTACCACTGCTCCTCCGCCAGCCTTGCACCAAGCAGGGTGCGGAAGGGAAGGTTGAAGGGGCTTGGGCGTCTGGGTGGGGGGATGGGTGGGGCTGGGCGAGGGCTTGGGTCTGGGGATGGAGGCTAGGGGCTTGGGGTCTGGGGGGTCTGGTGGGGCTGAGGGTGCTGGGAGTCTAGGGGTGGGTGAGGGGGGTGAAGGGCTAGGGGAGGGAGAGGTGGAGGGACTAGGGGGTGGAGGGTCTGGGTCTGGGTGGGTCTGAGGGGTCTGGGAGGCGGGGGCTGGGGTTAGCAAGGGGTGGGGGTCTGGGAGGGTCTGGGGGGGGAAGTGTGTGCAGTCCCATGTGGTCGCTTCTGTCGGAGCTTAACGTCACAGCGACCAGGATCAATAGGGGGATATATTTATAGGAATATGTTTATCTGTGGCATATACACACACACACACACGTACACACGCACACACACACGCACACACAAAACACACCACACACACACACACACACACACACACGCACACACACACACACACACACACACACACATACACACACAAATACACACACACACATATTTATATACATATATATGTGTATATGTTTATGTATATTGATCCATATCCATATCTGTCTTATCTATCTATATCTATATTTATCAATCAGTCTATATTCTATATCTGTCAATAAAATTAATCTATGCGTGTGTGTGTGTGTGTGTGTGTGTGTGTGTGTGTGTGTGTGTGTGTGTGTGTGTGTGTGTGTGTGTGTGTGTGTGTGTGTGTGTGTGTGTGTGTGTGTGTGGTGTGTGTGTGTGTGTGTGTGTGTGCGAGTCTTCACACCCACTTACACAAAGACCTAAAAACCCAGCAAATACACAAGATGACTTTGCTAAAAATGTGTTAATTTCGAGTTGTTTATAAATCCGTTTTGTCAGATCGTTGCCAGAGGTCGCCAAGTGACTGAATTGAGCTTCTGTTGATAGATATAAAATGGCGGATTTTTTTTTTTCTTTTTTTTTTTTTCTCTTCAACTTCATTAGAAACATTCGTTAATGGAATGTCAATCATGAAAAAGTTAGTGTAGATTTTTAAGGGGAAATTCTCATTTACATAAAGTCCAAATTGAAATCAAAAGAGATGCAGGTACACACAGATTCTCCATGTCTGTTTGTCCGTCTGTCTGTCTGTCTGTCTGTTTGTCTTTCTGTCTGTCTATCTCTCTGTCTGTCTGTCTCTCTCTCGCTCTCACTCTTTCTCATTCACTCAAAACACACAAACACCCACCCACCACCACACCACACACACACAACACACACACACACACACCACAACACACACACCACACGCACAAACCACACCACACACACACCACGTACATCACACACACACACACACACGTACACACACACACACACACAACACACCTACACACAATACATAACGCACAAACCCACACACACAAACACACATAACACACACAACACACATACACACACTCCCACAAAAAAAAACAATCACATACACACAAACACACACACACAAAACAAACAAACAAACAAACAAACAAACACAGCGGCTTAAAACCATTTTTTCCAAATCCGAAAAAGAGAAAATCGTCTCTTTATGATTTTTTTTTTCCCTTTCCATATAGATTTCCTCGGGTGGGAAATCTGGCTCCGATTTTATATTTCGCCCAAGAGGATTTTGCGCCAAATCTGACCAATTGAAGTTTGGTTTATATAAGGAAGGGAAGGAGGAAGGAGGAAGGAAGGAAGGGAGGAGGGAGGGAGGAAGGGAAGCTGGAGGGAGGAAGAGGAGGAGGGAAGGAAGGAAGAAAGGGAGGAGAAGAGGATGAGGAGGAGGAAGAGGAGGATGGAGGGGATGAGGAGGAGAAGGAGGAGGAGGAGGAAGAGGAGGAATGAGTAGGGAGAGGAGGAGGAGGAGGAGGAGGAGGAGGATGAGTAGGGAGAGGAGGAGGAGAAAGAGGAGGAGGAGGAGGAGGAGGAGGAGTAAGAGGAAGAGAAAGAGAAAGAGAAGGAGGAGGAGGAACAGGAAGTGGGAAGAAAATGAGGAGAGACGTAGACAGATACCACACACACACACACACACACACAACACTCCCACATAAAAAACAAACAATCACATACAACAAACACACTCACACCCAAAACAAACAAACAAACAAACAAAGAAACACAGCGGCTTAAAAACCATTTTTCCAAATCCGAAAAAAGAGAAAATCGTCTCTTTATGATTTTTTTTCCCTTTCCTTATAGATTTCCTCGGGTGGGAAATCTGGCTCCGATTTTATATTTCGCCAAGAGGATTTTGCGCCAAATCTGACCTATTGAAGTTTGGTTATATAAGGAAGGGAAGGAGGAAAAGGAGGAAGAAGGAAGGAAGGGAGGACCGAGAAGGTGAAGCAGGAGGAGGAAGAGGGAGGAGGTGGGAAAGAGAAAGGGGAGGAGGAAGGACAGGAAAGGAAGAGAAAAAAAAAAT